TAACCTAAACTAACAAGTCACTAAGACATTCACTTAAAGATGTGGCATATAAAATTAATGGCTTCCATGAAATAGAATAGCTAACATTAGAAGATTTGTCAAATACTATTTTATACTATCAAATGCTTTTTGATAATTCTCATCCCACTTATAACATGCATCTTTCTTGTATAATGTTATGAATGGCTAACATCTGTTTTAAAGATTTGATATAAACCTTTTAAGGTATGACAATCATATATGAAAAGATCTTAACATAGTAAGACTTTTTGGAGGTGGTAATTATTTTATAGCTTTGGTTTTACATCGGTTTATCTCGATCCCTCGATGTCAGACAAAAAAACCTAAAAGCTTTCCTAAAGTGACACCAAAGGCACACTTCAATGGATTCATTCTTAAGTTATGTTGATATTATCTTTGGAAAATAATTCTTAAATCATATAAATAATCATCTCTTTCAAAACATTATTGACTAGATCATCGGTATAATATTCCACTTCATGGTGGATTAGTTTATCAAAAATCCTCTTTATTACTCGCTAGTATGTTTCCCAAGCATTCTTTGTTCTGAATGGAATAACTTTATAATAGTAGTCTCATATCGACATTTTAAAAGCTATATACTTTTCATCCACATGAGCCATTTTAATTTGGTTGTATTCAAATGAGTCATCCATAAAATAAAATATTGCATATGAAGAAGCAATACCAATAATAAGTTTTGGTAATTTGAAATTAAAACTCATCTTTAGGACAAGCTTTGTTCATATATCTAAAATCAATACCGACTTAAATTTGATTCTTCTCCTCTCTAATAATGGAATGGAATAATGTTAGCTAACCAAGTTGGATATTTATCCTCTCTAATAAAGAATGAATTAACTAACCTTTTTTACTTTGGAAATTATTTGATGTTTAATGTCGAGTCACATTCGTTGAGGTGCTTAATTAATAAGAGCCATTCCTGGCTAAATTTCTATCTCATGGACTATTATGTCTATAGATAACCAGGGCATCTCTTTATAACTCAAAGTAAAATAGTCTTTGAATTCTGTAAATAACTATATCATTTTATTTGCCTCATCCACAATCAATAAAGGGCATATGAAAATTGGATGAGGGTTTTCTTAAAATCCTAGATCTATTTCTTTTAAATCATAAATTATAGATGTAATCTCCACTTTAAGTTCTTAAGGAGCATCCCTAACTTGAGAGTCATCCAGATCTTCTAAAGTTTTTAAAAAGAATTTATTAAGAGTTTTAATGTTTGTTGAAAAGAGACTATCAAACTCTAGATTATTTAATATGAGTAAGCAATATTCATCATCACCAAATGAATATATAGTAAAGCTTATGCCTCATCTTGACATATTTTTATATTTTTTTGTATTCCACATATATTCAAAATATTTGAGCTTCACTTCTAGTTCAACATGATGGTGTTAAACCTTGCTTAGGAAACTCTCTTACACAATCAGAGTACCGTCAAAAGGTAGTTCCACTATTTCATCAATAAATCTATCATTGAAGGGTACATTAATTTTAGTAGTTATACTGGTACAAAGATGTTGTCTTTGGTGTTTGAGTTTAAAGGAAGAGAGGCTTTCACCACTAACCTTTTTACATTACTTTGGGAGAGTGGAGTAAGAGTAATATTTTTCGCATACTTATTTTAATCTCTCCATTATAGAAAGATTTGAATCAGCTTCCCTAAGGACTTGCTTTTTATCAATCATATGTGATTCCTCCTCAAAACTGGATTAAAAATTGATATGAATTGCAGGCACCTTTATTTGCATATTTTGATTTTATTTTTCTTTTATCACTCAATTTTTTCATTCTTAACCTCTTCCTCTAGATCTTCAAGTCATTCTATCGTCTCTTTGTAAGGGCGGAGAAGGTGACCAACGAACATTGTGTTTGAGACAAAACGCTTAACTTTTTCCTTTTCTTCTTTTTTTTTTCTTTTTTTTTCCTTTCTTTTACTTCTTCTTTAATAAGTTTAACATTTTTAGAGAAGAAAGTGTACTTTTTAGGAAAATAGAATGAAGCATCTTTTTGTATACCAACTTCAGGAATTGAAAACGGTTGAAAATCAGCCATAATACAATTCTCTACTCCCTCTTTTTTTTTTTGAAATCAGCATGATTGCATTAAAGGCAAAGAAAAATCAAAAAGAACTACAAAGAAGATTCCTCCTTCATTATTTGAACAAATGAAGGAGGAATCATGTCCAAAGAAATATCTTCCCAAATAAAACTACTAAGAAGACCATAGCTAGCACACAAGTCAGCTAGCTTATTTCCTTCTCTATCAATATATTTAAAAATAACATAATTAAATTCTTTGAAAAAATTTAACTCATCTGAATACTTAAAGCTTTGATCCTTAGCCTTCTGAATCACCTTTATGACATTGTAGTTGTCGCTCTCAATAATAGCTCCCTTGTACTTGAACATCCAATCCTTCAATATATTCTTCAAAGTTTTGATGGCTATAAATTCCAATTGGTATATGTCCCAATGGATACAAGAATTCCCAAAAGCCAATAAGAATCTTCCTTTGCAATCTCTGATAATACCTCCAACTCCTGCTTTAAAAGAAGAACAAAGAGAAGCATCTACATTGATCTTTAACCAACCGGGTGGAGGGGGATGCCAAGCATTCAACAGTCTACAAGACTGATTAACATCCCTTGATTCCAAAAATTGATTAAAAATCAAATTGGAGTATGAAGATTGGCAAATTGCTTGAATAGCAATTGAAGTAGTACTTTCACTAATGTTATCATGAATCAATTTGTTCCTAGCCTTCCATGAGAAGTACACCATATTGAAGAAGATATTTAGAATCATACCATCATTCTTTGGGATGTTGCGAATCCACCTGCAGTAATCCTGGAAACAATTGAACTTCTGCAGTTCAAAGCCCCATTTGTTCAGATTACTGATAACCTCCTTGATTCTAATGCAACCGCAAAAAACATGTTCAAAATCTTCAATTCCGACAGAGCATCTTGGACACTCATTATTCTCCAGCAACCTCCTATGAGCAAGAAATTGGAACATTGGTAATGCACCTTTGAATAGCCTCCAAATGAAAGTTTGCACCCGTGGATTAATTCTAGCCTTTTTTATCCAGAGAAAAGGTTCCCAGTCCTCTTCCTGTTGCTGAAATTCGTTGATCATTCCTAGAATAGACTTCCCTGGGTCTTGGAAAATGAGTTCTCTAACATCTTCAACCTGATTAGGATTGATTTTAATATTAAGAATGAGATTTATCAGGTCTTCACCAAAATTCTGCTTCAAATTCTCCTCATTCCAGCTTCCTTCTTTAATGAATCTATTCAGTAAATTATTTTCTTCATCTTGAGGAACTACAAAAGTAGGCCACTCATTGATTCTCCTATCAAGTATCCACTTATCCTTGAATACATTGATTGAATTCCCATTAGCTACTTCCCATCTTAAAAAAGTATCCAGCACCTTACCTCCATTATAGAAGATTTTCCAAGAGGAAGAAATTCTCTTGATTCCAGCATTTCCAAATCTTGTTCCATACTTGGGAGCCAACGTTCTATGTAATAAAGACTCCTTGTTGTTCAAAAATCTCCTAGATAATCTAGCTCTAAGAGGAGCTACCCTTGTTGTTGAGGAAAATAATCCACAGCCACCTTTCTTCATAGGCTTACATAAGTTCTCCCAACTGATGTAATGCATTCCTGGATTTCCCCCAGATTTTTTCCAAAGGAAACTTCTACAAATTTTATCAATCTCTTTAAGAACATGAACCGGCACCAAAGTGTGAGAGCTGAAATAGTTTGGAATAGTTAGGATAACTGTCTTAATAAGAACAATTTTCCCTGCTAATGATAATGATTTTGATCCCCAAGTATTAAGGAATCTAAGAACTTTCTCAATAATAAAATGAAAGTCACTAGACATCATTCTTCTCAAAGTCATTTTAATGCCAAGGTAAACAAGCTCTTTCACTTGATTAAATACCATAATCCTGGAAAGATGTTTCTTCTTTCTTCTACCAACATTGTTTCCAAAGAGAATAGCTAATTTCTCCTTATTAATCTTCTGCCCTGTCCATGAGCTAAAATCAGCTAGAATGGCTTTGATTTCAAGAACATCTTTCCTTGAAGCTTCCAAGAAAACCATAACATCATCAGCAAACAATAAGTGCAAAATTCGAGGACTGTTTGAGCTAACTCCAATCCCAATCGAAGAATGAGAGAATGCATTTGTGAGAAGTTGGGAACATAGGATGAATAACATGGGGGACAAAGGACATCCCTGACGAAATCCGCTTTCAACCTTAATCCATCCTGATAACTTCCCATTTATAATAATAGAAAATCTGGGGTTCAAAACACATTCCAATATTAATTTTGAAAACATATATGGGAATTCAAAGTATTTCAAAACTTGTTTAAGAGTTTTCCAACTCATGGAGTCATATGCTTGCTCCATGTCTACTTTGAAAGCCACCATCCCTTTAGCTGCCTTGGAGTATCTGAACTTATGAAACATTTCTTGGGCTATAATAATGTGATCAGAGATGGATCTTCCTCTGATGAAAGCAGCCTGCTCAACAGAAATAAGCAAAGGCATAACTGGAATAAGCCTATTCAGGATAACTTTTGCAGCAACTTTATACACTGAGTTACAAAGGCTTATAGGCCTATAATTAGAAGGCAACAAAGGATTAGAAACCTTTGGTATGAGAACCACAAGTGTATCTTTCCAATTACAATCCATGCTTCCTTGTTTGAAGAAATGATTTAAATCCAACACAAAGTCTTCTTTTATAATCTTCCAATAAAATTTGATAAAGGAGTATGTAACCCCATCACCTCCTGGAGATATGTTATTTCTTAGATTTTGGATGACAAAATCAATCTCCTCCACAGTGAATTCTTTGTTCAAAGAAATTACTTCCTCCTGCTTCAATTTCTTCAATTGATTTGGCCAATCATTCAGCTTACAACTTCTCTATTTCCATTTAGAATTAAAAAACTGTATGAAGATATCTTCAATATGGCTTTGTTCCTCCACAACCAACCCATCTTCATTTTTTAATTTCAAAATTATGTTGCCAATCTTACTAGCATTAGCATATGAGTGATTGAATTTGAAATTATGATCTCCCTCATTCATCCATTTGACTTTAGCTCTTTGTTTCCACCAACTGCACAACCGAGCCATAGTAGTATTAAGTTCAATAATTTTGGATTTCATTCTCCAACAATCTTCTTCAGAAAGCCATCCAACTTCTGCTTCATCAGTTTGTAGCTTCAGAATTTCTTCCATTAGACTACATTTAAGATCATTAAGGTTCTTCAGCTTTGCCTTGCTCCAAAAGAGCAAGGATTTGAGAGTTCTTTTGCACTTGGCATTCAAAATTTGAGCAGAATTTCCACTGAATTTCTTACTCCATTCCCTCTTAACCACAGCAAATGAAGCTGGATATGAGGCCCACACATCCTCAAAAATAATTCTCCTCTTATGAAAGTTTCTAGAATTACAAAAATTGAGTACCAATGGACTATGATCTGATGCAATTCTAGCTAGGTGTCTCACAGTTAATTGAGAAAAATAATTCAAAGCAATAGAATTAATAAAACACTTGTCAAGTCTCTCCAGAATCCGAGCACCTCCAGATTTATTGTTACACCATGTATACCTTAGACCAATGAAACCATTCTCATGCAGGTCATTATTAGTAATGAAAGCTCCCATTTCTCTAGTTCCTTGAGAAAGAAAGAATTTTTACCTCCTCTCTTGTCCTCTTTAGAAGTGAGACAATTGAAGTCTCCTCCTACCACCATTGGATGCTCCTCCACTAAGTAAAACTCAAGTAACTCCCAGAGTGCCCTTCTTTTGGTTGTGTCTTTGCTCCCATAGACCGAGGCCACTCTCCATTTTCAATTACTATTTATTGTCAAATCACCAATAAGACATTGGGATGAAGATCCCACCAAAGAAAACTCAACTATGTTTGAATTCCATAGAACAATAATCCCTCCAGATAAACCATTCGAAGGTACCATAGCAAACTCCCATCCATCTCCCATAAGCTTCTTAACATCTCTAATGTCAAAATTAGAGATTTTAGTTTCAAGCAATCCCATAAAAACAACACTATGCATCTTGACAATTTCTTTCATGTATAGAGAAGCACTACTCTTCTTTGCTCCTCTACAATTCCAAAATACCAAGAAATTCATTAAAGAGGACATGTGGGATCAGCTCCCACCTTTCCTTTCACATCCAACTCCAATTTTCTACTCCTTGTGATACTACTTATTGGTCCAAGGCCTTTCAACAGTTTTGATTTCTTTTTCTTCAAATGATTGGAGTCATCATCGTTCTCCTTTGTATTTGAGCTGTCAGCTGTAGGTTGCTTCTGTTCTTCCTTCCCAGCACTCAGATTCCTGTTGGGCATCAATATGGTATCACATTATTTTATGAACTCTCCTTCTTCCAATAATTCATTCAATACATTAAATATGTTTCCACTAAAAAGAATGTTAGAGACATCCCTTTCAATAACCTGATGCACTTCATTATTCACATCCGAACCAGTTCCAAATGTCACTTCTTCAGGAGTTTGATTGTTAGCCATTAGAATTTTATCAGAATTCATGGCTGTATCTTCTATATGATTTCCCTCAACTTCCTTCTTCTTATTATTTGTAGTTATTCTCCTCCAAATTGTCTTTTTAACAGGCTCACGAGTACTTCCTCTGAATTAATTTTGGACAAACTTCCTGCCTCGGTTTACTATCATCCATGGTCTATAGCTCCCTGAATTGGTTTGTTCCAGTCCATCTTCTGCTGGATTTTCTTTCCTAGCATTATTAGGATCATTCCTTAAATCCTCCTTGTAATTGAATTCGGGATTGCCAACACCTTTCCCACAATGTTCTTTTGTATGCTCAATGAATCCACAATTGAAACAAAAATTTGGGATACGTTCATATTCTATCTTTTGATAGAATTTCTCATTAGTTCCCTCCACCCATACTTCTACGGGTAGCTTTCTATCAAGCAAAATTTAGACACACACCCTTCTGAATTCCCTACGTCCCCATTGAAACATGTTTCCATCAACGAGAATTGGTTTTCCAACCATAGAAGCTATTCTGTAAACATTTAAGTTATCCCAGCAATGCAATGGAAGGCTTGAAAGCCTAATTTAAACTGGTGATGTCAATCCTTTAAGGGAGTTAGGATCAAAGCTATGTGACCACTTGTCCATACCAATAATCTTTCCATTTACAAACCAAGGCCCATTAGAGAGGACCAACTCCATGTTTTGTTTCTCCTGGAATGAACCCAATACCCAGTCCCTAGTAAGCATGGTAATATGAAATTTACCATAATGATTCCACTGTCTCCTCAGTTCACATCTTATAATTAAAATCGGGGCTTCTCCTCCAAAAATTTTAATTACCAGAGAATAAGCTAGTTTATTGGCATTCTCTTCCTCATTCTTCTCAAGCAATTTCACAGTCATTCCATCTTCAGATAGGTAGTCGCCGAGTTGCAGATCTTCAACTGGGATATTCTCTCTTCTCTTCCACGAATTAGTTTGTCCATCATCAGTAATTTGTTCAGCAATTTGAATGTATTCATTACCTCCTCCCGAAACTGCTTAGTCCACTTCTCTAACCTTTAGTAAGTCGCTGAACAGAACCTTGTTTCCAATAACGGGAGCCACAATGCCAGCCCCAATATCCATGCCGTCTTCCTGAATTGTTGTCACATTATCTTCAAGACTAAAAAAATCATCTTTGCCCATACAAATTGCCTTGTCCTCTTCATTCAAAACATATTTATCCTTGTTAGGAACTACCTTCTCAATAGGAAGTAACTTGGATGGAGATGCTTCATATCCATTGCCAAACATCATAGCAGTTGGTGATTTTCTCTTCTTGAGATCATTTATCAGAATAATATTCTTCCCTTTGCCAATAACCTCTGGCTCCTTCTGCTCCAGATAGCCACCTTCATTGATGACCAAGTTAGTCCCTCTACCTTTGCATCTGTTATTCATATTTGAATTCCTGTCGCCAAATGCAGAAGGAGAAGATGGAAAAGCTCTGGCAGAGGATAACGGAGACCTTGTTGATGGACGTCGGACATCAAGTTTACCTCCGGCAGTTGGAAGCCGGCAAACGTCCGCCTCCATTCGTTCCCCGTGATTCTCGCGGAGATCAAAATTTGAAAAATTCTGTTGTAAAAGTCAAATTTCCTCAGACCTTCTCTCTCTAACTTCTCTCTCACTCTAACTAGTTATTTCTCGCTTCTTACAAAGCTCAATTCTCTACTCCCTCGTGAGAGTATTTTATACACTAATAAAGGGTGGAAGATACCATTGTATATTCATGTAGCTAGGGTCAAACCAAAAGAGCATTAAAATAAGTCTTGGAATCAATTATATAGAATTTGTTTATGATTTTTAAGTTTCCTACTTCCAAAAGCAAAGTAAATGAACCCAAATCCCTCTTATTTTTTTATTAAACCCTTAAAATATTTTTTTATCAAAACTGAGTTTGTGAGCATCCACCCTTTGGTATACGAGAGTTCTAATATTCATAATGTTGAACGATACACCCAAATTAACAAGAACATAAGATAAATTGAAATTGTCTATGTGTGTGTGTGTGTGTGTGTGTCTATATATATATAGCAATTATAATCTAGAGTTCTCAATAGTAAATCATCTTCTAAGAATGTAACTTCTAGGGCTTCTTTGAAACTCAGGGTTGCTTCAGACTGCGTTGATAATAATTGAGCTATATATATCTCTAGATCAAGTAAAGTTTTGATTAAAGCCTCTAACTAATGACTTTTTATTTGATGATATGGGTAATATCTTCTAGCTTTTTTGGTTCGGGAAGTTTGAATTTTGATTTCTTTAGAAGGCTTTAAAGATCTTTTTAATTGCCTATCCTTTAAATGAATATGTCTTACTCTTTAGAGCTTTAAACCTATCTCTTTCCTCTTCAAGAGTAAGATTGGAATGAGAATTATACTATGGGATAGAAGGTCTATTGTACTATTGATACTATGTTGGACAACTTGAATATTCTATTTGAATCTACATCAGTTGTTTCCCTTTATCTACTATAGATACTGACCCAGATTTCTTTTCTAACACCTTCTAAGGTTTTACTTTTATGATCGCTATTGGAGATTGTGATCTTCCAGGAAATGAAACTAAGATATTTTCTCTTAAAGATTAGACATTTTACTCAATAACTTCTTAAATTTTTTTATTATGAACCCTTTCAATAAAAAGGCAATTGGACAATGAATATTCTTTACAAGAATTTCTAATGTATGTCAATAAAGTGCAGGGGAAAGTAATATTTATAAACTCTAATGGGCTTATTAATTTGCTTAGCAGGCTCAGGCTGCTCCTTTGGTTAGTTAATCTCTACAGGTTCTTCTACCAAAGGTTCCTCAAAGGGTTATTCTCTATATCTACTGGTTTCTCTTAGTTCCTTCCCATTCCTGGGTTGGATGGATTTGCACTACTCCTTACCTATCTCCTTATGGTTTAATTAAATCATGTTAAGAAAATAACCCTAGGCTCTTTGGTCTATTATTGATTGAACTAACTAGCTCACATGATTGAGTTTTAATATTCTAAATGGTAGTAAGTTGACTATACAACTAATTCCTCATTTGCGATACAAAATCCTCCAATGAAAGCTTATTATCTTTAACCTAATTATTATAATTAAAATATGGTGGATAATTGGGCCAAAATTTTAGAATAATAAAAGGTGGTTCCAAGACCCAACAAGGTTAGGTTGATTAAAATTCCATTGATTTCCCACATTATTATTATTATTCCATTACAAATTTGGGTAGTTCCTCCAACATAGATTCTAGGTTTTTTAATAGGGGTTGTTTGACCTATTAATAACATTTAAGGTCTCTACCTCGTGGGCATTTAGATTAATAGATGGACTAATGGTAATCTCTTTTATAGGTATTGATAGTCATGAGGCTGAACTAACTCCAAGGTTTTATACAAAGTGGAAAGAATTTGTAGAGAGTTTCTATGGAATAAACGTGATGGTAGCTATGGTATGCATTTTGTTTCGTGGAGGACTATGTGTAAGCCTAAAGATAATGGAGGTTATGGAGTGCAGTCTTTAGTTGACAAGTTGGGACCTTTGAGGTCTAAACATGCTTTGAATTTCATTATGAAGCCAAATACACTTTTAAACAGAGTTTTAAGAGCTAGATATGGGGATGTACTGTGGAATGGAATCTATTGCAGCAGCAGCTCCTCGACCTGGAAAATAATTCAAAATGGTGCAGATTTTTTATTTTCGGTGCTGAGATGGAGTATTTCAAATGGAGAGTATGTTTATACCTTCAAAGATATATGGATTTTGGATAAATCCTTAGATAAATGGCCTACCTTTGTATCTATTATAGAATCAGAATTCAGCCAAGTTTCTGATTTTATCACAAATGGTAGTTGGGAAATTGGTAAATTGAAAAGATGTTTTGGTGAGTTACTTATTGGTTTGATCCTTTCTATTCCAATACATTCAGGCCAGCCTGAAGATAAAATGGAATATATCAATAAGATCTCTAGTAAATCTGTTGCAGCAATTATCTATGAGAAGAAGTTTGAAGAAGTCAGTCAAGATGAATCATACAAATGGAGGAAGAAATTGAAGTTAAAACCAAAAATTGAGAATTACTAAAAA